TGGTATGAACCACTGTGCAACACCAGTAGCAGGAGGCAGGGCTGGCAACAGGATCAAGCAAACGAAGCGCATTTAGCATGCCAGAAGCTCACTTAGCAGGAAGAGGACGCTTTCGGCGACGGCGGCGGCGACGACGACCGACGACGACGGCCGCCGAAGGCCGCCGAGGCAAAGGAGGAGGAGGAGGAGGAGGAGGAGAAGGAGGAGGAGAAGGAGGAGGAGGAGGAGGAGGAGGAGGAGGAGGAGAGGGAGGAGGAGGTGACAAGGAATTGTGGGAGGAGGAGGAGGAGGAGGAGGAGGAGGAGGAGGAGGAGGAGGAGGAGGAGGAGGAGAAGGAGGGAGTGGTAGGACGTGACAAGAGGAAGGATGGGGAGGAGGACAGGAGGAGGAAGTGGAGGAGGAGGAGGAGGAGGAGGAGGACGAGGAGGATGACGAGAAGAAAAACAGGACCAGCAGCAGGAGGCGGAGCTGGCAACAGGATCAAGCACATCGGGAGCCCACTTAGCAGAACAGAAGCCCACTTAGCAGGAACACGACTTAAAGGCTACGGAAAGAACGCAGACCGGCCCCCACGGGCCTATGATGACGTCGAAAGCTCCGGTCTCCCCGTGGTCTCCTGCTTGACGGACCTTAGCTTGACAAAACGATCCTGAGCCCGGTGCCTGTTCGAGGCGGGCCCGCTGAGCCCAGGACCCGATGAGTAGGATGAGGAGGGTGAGGATGAGCGATGCGAGCGAGCACGTGAAATTGTAGAACCCCTGGTGGTTACTGAACTCCGATCTGCTCGACACCCTCCTGGACCTGGTGCCTGGCCTAGCCGACCGAAGCCTGGACCTTCTTCTGTGGAGGAGGAGGTGGAGGGAGATCAGGTAGCTCGCGATCGTTCCGTCAGCCAGCATCTTCGGAGGCTTCTCATTACCAAGTGCGAATGAGCTCTCCGTGAGAAAGGGGTATCGCTTCAAAGCTGCAGCTGGCACGGCCGCTGGCTCCTCGAGCGGTCGGACGATCTCGACCATCCGGTGCCCGGAGCCTAGACGCGCCATGTCTACTGTGGCCTGCAAAGCTCCTGACCGCAACTTGTTCCTCGGCAGATCGATGACGCTCTCGAGGAACTCAAGCAAATTCACGCTGAGAATGTGCGGCACAGATTCTCCAAGGACGGTGGTATCTATGATACCGAAAACTCCGGCGAGGCACAGAGGAAAGAGCACGACACTGATCACCCTGGCCGCGCCTCCTACACCGTGCGCTCCTCGAACATGGGCACGGTGCTCTGGAGGGATCTCTACAAAGCGAAGGCCGTGCACCGCGAGCGCCTCGGACTCGCGATTGAGAGCCTCCACGCCCACCAGGTCGGTGCCGGCGCCGGGGTCGATGAGACCCTGAGTGGAGGACGCGGCCAGAAACACCGAGTTGCTCGTGATCTCCTCCTCGACCTCTCTCCAGGCCGGCGCGCTCCAGCCGTCCTTCGTGTTGGAGGCCACTCCCTCGAACATGTACGCCGAAGCACTGCGGCGGGGAGGAGGAGGTCTCCTGCCGCCTATGTCCTTCTTGACGGTCTCCTTCTTGGCTCCGCCGGCATTGGGGCACTCACGTCCCCAGTGCCCTTTTTCGTGACACAGCTTGCACTTGGTGACCTTCATCAGCTGCTCCTGTGTCAAGAAGCGTCTCCGCCCAGGCGGAGGCCTTCGTCCAGCTCCGCCTCCGCGCTCAGGTCGGTCTCGCCGCATCCTGCCTCGGCCCTCCGGCCTGGGAGGTCCTCCGCCTCGGCCCTTGGAGCCGAAGTACTCTCGATCACGGCGGGCAGCGCGCTTCAGGTCTTTGTTCTGCTTCCAAGAGCGGTTGTTCGTCAGCTCTGCCATGACCAGCTCGATGTCGTCCTCACCGACGTCCATGTCGTCGATCTCCGCCATCAGCGCCTCGACGTCCTCCTCGTCCAGCTCGTCGCTGCCCTCGTCGCCCTCGTCGTAGTAGTCCTCGTCGGCTTCTTCCTCCTGGTGGCTGCCACTGTCGTGAACCCGACCTGCTGACCGACCGAGGTGAGTTGAGGAGGAGGGAGAGGACTGAAAACCAGGAAAAGCGTCAGAGCGTGCGCCCGGACCTGAGTCCTCAGGAGACGCCGATGTCGCCAGCATGCTGCCCGGCCCGGCCTTGCCTGGCAGCAGCTTCTCGGTTCCGACCGAGGAGTCGAGCTGGCGCAGCGCCCACTTCACGTTGTGATACGTGAGGTCGCCGCGCGTCAGCGTCCGGAGGTTCTGGATGCCCTGAGGGGTCAGGTTCGCGCCCTCTTCCAGGAACAGCCCCTTCAGCTTGTCCGACATCCAGAGGTCATGCCCCTCGGCCTCGGTGTACTCCGCCTCCCGGCGGCTCACGAACTGGGTCAGTGTCTCGTTCTTGGGATCCCGAACGGCGTCGTACAGCGCCTTTCGCCCAGCTCGTCGAAGCTCATCTCCTTCCCGTTCGCCTATCATGAGGTCCATTCTCTGGAGAATGATGTCTAGCCACCTGCTCGATGTCAGGTCGTCGTCCGGTATGTCCTCGAATCTGGCCTGCATCGACCACTCGAACAGGCGCATGAATTTCTCTGATCTGCGCCACACGGCCACGTCCGTGTTGTCGTTCCATCTCTTGATCGAGCGCTTCCACTGCCGATAGTGTGCCCAGCCCGGCCATGCGGGTGGGTCTGTGTAGTCTCCTCGTCCGCCTGTCCAGCTGCTCGATTCCCACCAGCCGTTCCACTTCCGATCCTTCCAGTCGGAGGTGTCGTTCCAGTCCGAGGAGTCCTTCCAGCCCTCGGTCTTGTCCTTCTGATCCTTCCAGCCTTCTCGCCAGCCCGTCGTCATCTCTCCTGCTGCGCTGTCCCTAGGCTGCGAGTTGGCTGGTCGTCCGTGTCCACTGGCCCATGGATCGTCTCGGTCGACCCACGGGTCTCGCTGCTGCTGTTGACCAAAATGGTCTCTGATGGTCTGCTTGACCATGCTCTGGACGCTCTTCAAGAGGGCGTCCGCATCTATGCCCGCACCTGTCGCCGGAGCTGCTGCAGATGATGTTCCCGGCGCCCCTGCCGAGGATCCCGCAGCTGTCTGCCCCGCTGGTCGCGCCTCTGCGGCGCCGCTGCCCGCTGGGGCAGTCTCGACCTTCCTCGTCGCCATGCCTGCGAATGTGTCGTCATCCTCTGCGGGCATTCGCCGTGGATCCTCCACCGCTCAGCGGTGCGAGCGGAACCTGGCCCAAGGCGCGCGAGCGCGGGCGGTCGGCCGTCACGGCCTCGCGCCCTTGCCCATGGCCCCGGGCCCGATCCCGCTCCGCTACCAACTGCGGCAGCAGGAGAGGCAAGCGAAATGTTTTCCCTTGAGACATAAGTGGAACGGGCGTCACACATGATGGTCCTCAGACCATCTGTCCCTGAGTGAAACGCATATGCTAAACCTATGTCACAAAATATGGTCCCCAGCAACACTGGGGCCCACCCTCCCGGGCCACCCTCCCGCGCCACCCTCCCGGGCCACCCTCCCGGGCAACCCTCCTGGGCCACCCTCCCGGGCCACCTTCCCGGGCCACCCTCTCGGGCCCACCCTCCCAGGCCACCCTCCCGGGCCACCCTCCTGGGGCACCCTCCCGCGCCACCCTCCCGGGCCACCCTCCCGGCCCCCACCCTCGGAGACCCCACCCCTCTGGGCCACCCTCCCGGGCCGCCCTCCCGGGCCACCCTCGCGGGCCACTCTCCGGGCCACCCTCCTGGGCCACCCTCCTGGGCCACCCTCCCGGGCTATCCTCCCCGGCCCCGCCCTCGGGGACCCTCCCGGGCCACCCTCCCGGGCCACCCTCCCGGGCCCCTCCCGGGCCACCTTCCGGGCCCACCCTCCCGGGCCACCCTCCCGGGCCACCCTCCCGGCCCCACCCCTCCGGGCCACCCTCCCGGGCCACCCTCCCGGGCCCACCCTCCCGGGCCACCCTCCCGGGCCCATCCTCCCGGGCCCCACTCTCGGAGACCCCACCTTCCCGAGCGCCACCCTCCTGGGCGCTACCCTCCCGGGCCCACCCTCCACTTCCGGGCCCACTTTCCCGGGCCACCCTGCTCTCCCGGGCTCCCTACCCTCCCGGCCACCCTCCCGGGCCACCCTCCCGGGCCACCCTCTCGGGCTGCCCTCCCGGGCTGCCCTCCCGGGCCCACCCTCCCGGGCAACTCTCCCGGGCCCACCCTCCTGGGCCACCCTGCCAGGCCACCCTCCCGGGCTCCACGCTCGGAGACCCTCCCCGGCCACCCTCCCGGGCCACCCTCCCGGGCCCACCCTCCCGGGCCACCCTCCCGGGCCCACCCTCCCGGGCTCCTTTCCTGGGCCTACCTTCCCGGGCTCGTTCCTCTACCTGCTCGGCAAGGCTCCGATCGAGCCGATCACGCCGACCAGGGCGGGCATCGACATCATGCCTCAAGTGAGCGCGCCTAGCGCAACCGCCGCGGGGGCGCGACGGCAGGATTGGGCTCGCCAGTGCGCGCGCCGCGCTCAGCACGCGATTGTTAACGCCCTCAGCCCTTCCTGTCCCGCGGAGCTGTCGCTTCGCTACATGCAGGCACGGGGGCGTTGTTGCAAGCATAACTGCGTCGTCTCAGTTGGCGACCCCGCCCCGCCCCGCCCGCGCCCGCCCGACCCCGCGCCGCAATGCTTCGGTGGCCTCCGCGCCTACCGCGCACCCCGCATGCCCACGGCTGGGCGGGACACATCAACGCCTCGGCCCTCCATTGGCGGCGCTTATTGGTGACCCGAGCGGCGTGGAACTACGAGGGCGCGCGCGCTGTAGCGTGGCGCCAGCCCGCGCTGTAGCGACTGGGCAGGGCGGGGGGCTGGGCCGCCGCGTCGTCATTCAAATGTCAGCCGCGCCCACAGTTGAAGACCCTGTTCTATTGGATGACGGCCAACGTGGTCAACAAAAACATGGTCGCCCGCAGGTGGGCGGGACGCACCAGCGCGGGCGGGGTGTCGCGCGTCGTCCATGCCCAGGTGGTTGGACGGCACGTGGATCTTCAGGCTCGCGGGTATCGAGTACGACTACTACGCCCACTATGATGAGCCGATCTTCGAGGATCGGCATATGGGTAGATCACGGCAGCTGCCGCTGCGCGTGCCCTCGCTAGACGCCGCTGCAGCGGCGCGGTGGCCAAACAACCCGCCTTGCCTGCGAGTTGCTTGCCGACGGCCCGCAAGAGGTCCGCGTGATGGACCATGACGGGGGCTTACTCATGCTGCCGTGAATGCCCGCCACGGTCGCATACTGTCGCATATAAGGCGCGGGCGTTGACAATGGCGACGGCGGCGACGGCGGCAATGCACGAACGCCGCGCTGTAGCAACCGATGCGACCGAGCGCGGCTGCCGCCGTCGCTGCGCGCGAGCGCGCGGGCGCGCTGCAGCCGCCGCCGCATGGCGATGCCGACGGCGGCTGCAGCCGACGCCGCATGATGACGTCGGCGGCGGCGGCGGCAACGAGCGCGGCTGCAGCCGCCGCTCGCGGCATTGAGCATTGGGCGAGGGAACGATTCGCGACGGGGAGTGATGCTGATGCGCCCGCCGCCGTGCTGAGGGAGCCACGCTGGGGGCGCGCCCCCCGCCGCGCTCGCGCGCCGCCCGCGGCGCCGCCATCGGCATGGCGGCGCGGTCGCGCGCGCGCGCGCTGATGCGCCTGCGGGCGCGGCCCCCGCGGCCCGCGATCTGCGACGCCAGGCTGCGAATGATGGGTTGTGCAGGCTGCGTGCCTCCCTGCCGCTCTGCAGCCGAGCAGCGCTAGGCGCGCTCCTGGAGATAGCTGAGCGCGAGGAGCTGCCGAGCGGCAACCGCAACCGCCTGCGGGAGGCGCGAGACGAGTCGCGCGCTCACCGCACTGCCTACGTCCCGATCCACAAGGATACACAGGTGCCCAGCAACGACCCGGATGGGCACTTTGACGTCGAGGTCCAACCGGCGCAGGCCATGCTTGACTACATGGTCAGCTCCAGCAGCTCCTTCGCCGCGCGCGTGGAGGACGCCTGGAACACGCGGCAGCCCGCGCCGCCGGACCCGTGGACCATCGTCCTCTATTCGGACGAGATCATGCCTGGCAGCGCTCTTGCCCAGACCCTGCACAGGAAGTGCTGGGGCTGGTACTGGAGCATCCTCGAGCTCGGCCCAGCGACCTTGAGCAACGAGGACGCGACTCGGGCGACGCAAACTCCATTCTCTGGGCTGCAGCCAATCCGCCCTCACAACCTGCAAACTCCAAGCATCCAAACTTCGATGCTCTGGGCCGCAGCCCATCCAGCGCCGCGCGGCTTGCGCCCCCCTGTAGGACGCGTAGATGGAGGTTGCCATCGCGCGGAGCTTGCTGGCCAGGAAAGCAGCGGGCGGTGTGCCGGGGCTGGCCAGCGCCATCGTCGGCCTGTTCGGCGGGGAGCACGACATGGAGCGCGCGGGCGTCACCGTCGGCCGCCCTGGGCGGCTGATGCACCTGTTTCTGCGGCCGGGGGATATACTGGCCGACGAGGGCAGCACCCATGCAATATATGGGCGCAAAGGGTCTGGTGGGCTGAAGCCATGCCTCATGCGCCCTAATGTGTACGACGCAAAAAAGCGCCCGCGAGGTCCACCTTAAAGACCCGACAGGGACTGGCGTCCCTCGCACGTGCGCTGGCAGCGCCAAGTTCGCCCCCGTCACCGTCTCCGCCCTGCAGGCCATCTTCAGGCAGCTGCGGGCGTCCTTGGTGCCCAGAAGCAAGGGCAGGCTGGCGGACTTGGAGACCGACCTCGGCTGGGCCCTCGCCGCGGAGACGTGCATGTGGGACGTGATGCGCGTCATTTTCGCCAGCGGCGTCTTCGGCTTCCACGTGGGCCAGCTGATGCGCGTGGCGAAAGGCCACGGCATCGCGTACAAGGTCCTGGGCGAGGCCGCGCAGACCTTCCAGTGGCCCGCCATCGGGCGCAAACGGCTGAAGCCCTGCGATGGCAGGACGGTTGGCGCATTTGCGCCGAAGCGAGCCGAGAGCCATTGGGAGAACGTAAGCTTCAAGGCGACGGCGTCCGAGAGCCTCGCGCTGGCCCCCTGGCTCAAGTACTTCTTCCGCGCAGCGTCGTCGGCGCGCGGGGCGCCCGACTTGGCGGCGCACGCGCGGTGTTTCGGCCGGCTGGTCGACGTCGTTGAGGCCGTCGTCGAGGCCCACCGCGCGCCAGTCGACGCGGCGGCGCTGCAGCGCGCAGTGGGGGCCTACTTGGGCGAGTTCGAGCGCTTGTGCGGCGAGGGCCCGATGACGCCGAAGTTCCATTATGCAATCGCTTCGCCCGCTCTCCCGCCCGCCCCGCCCCGCGTCGCCGAGCTGCAGCTCGGCGACGAGGAGGGCGAGGATGATGATGAGGATGATGAGGACGATGACGATGAGGATGATGATGAGTACGATGATGATGGGGATGATGACGACGGCGATGATGATGACGACGGCGACGATGACGATTGACGACGACGATTACGATGATGATGCTGATGATGATGATGATGATGATGATGATGGCGTCGCGGCTGCAGCCGCTCCCCGCTCGCGCGCTCGCACGGCGCGCGGGCGCGGGCGCGGACCTCATGCGCATGCCCGCGCTGATCGCGAAGTTCGGGCCGCTGCCCACGTGCTCGCCCCTGGAGCGGAAGCACAAGACGGTGAAGAAATTCGCCAACCACCTGTTCAGCAGTGCCGCTTCGGTCTGCGACAGGTGGGGCCGCAGCGCCTTGCGGGACGTCACGTCCGAGCGGATGCACGGCGTCGCGGACGACGGGTTCGCCAGGGACGCGGGGCTCCTGCAGCCGAGCAAGCCCGCGTCCAGGCGACTTGTTTTTTCCCCAAACAACTTGCTGAACGGGGTGCTGTTGCGATAGAAACTAACTCCGGCCGAGGGAACGCGGGGCAGAGACATCCTCACACAAATTTTATGTTTTTGGCCGTTTCGCTTGAGACATCCTCACAACTCTCGTTTCTGAGTTTGCCGGGATTGGCTGTTTCGCTTGAGACATCCTCGAAAAGTTGCGCTCCGGGACGCCGCGCGAGAGGTGGTCCGGCCCGTTTCGCTTCAGACATCCTCGAAACTCTGAGCCCCGAGGTGCCGCGCGAGAGGTGGTCCGGGCCGTTTCGCCCGAGACATCCTCGAAACTCTGAGCTCTGCGATGCCTTGCGAGAGGTGGTCCGGCCCGTTTCGCTTGAGACATCCTCGAAACTCTGACTTCGCAGATGCCGCGCGAGAGGTGATCCGGCCCGTTTCGCCTGAGACATCCTCGAACTTCTGAACTCTGAGATGCCCTGCGCGAGGTAGTCCGGCCCGTCTCGCCTGAGACACCCTTGCAACTCTGAGCTCTGAGATGCCGCGCGCAAGGTGGTCCGGCCTGTTTCGCGCAAGACAATCTCGCAACTCTGAGGTCTCAGATGCTGCGCGAGAGGTGGTCCAGCCTGGGCGCCCAGAAGACCACATGTTACATGCCCTCCATGGGACCCCGCGAGCCTCAGGAGGCCCCAGAGAGGTCCAGGAGGCCGCAGGGCGCCCAGGACAGGCCCCATGGGGCCCCCAGGAGATTCCCAGGAGGCTCCCAGGAGGCCCCAGGAGGCCCTCTATCAGAACGTGTCAAGTTAATTCACATCCGGTGTCGATTCGTTGATTTGTCCTGCTCCTGTGCCCAGCCCCTCCATTTTGAGGGGCCCAAGCGGCCACAGGTTAGATATCCATCCTGGGAGCCCCAAGAGGCTTCAGGAAACCTCAGGTGGAGTTCAGGAGGCCACAGGAAGCCCAGGAGGAAGCTCCAGGAGGTTGCCCCAGGGGTCTCCAGGAGATTCCCAGGAGGCCCCCAGGAGGCCCCAGGAGGCCGCCTATCAGAACGTGTCAATTAAGACACATCCGGTGCCGATTCGTTGATTATACCCAACCATCCTGTGGTGTTGGGTCCTCGTTTTGAAGAGACGTCGCCCCGCGTTCCCTCCTCCTTCCTCCTCCTCCCCTTCCTCCCCCCTCCCCCCCCTCCCACGCCCATTCTGGCACACCCCTCACACGTTTCGTGGCCCCATAGGGAGCTCCACCGAAGGCCCCAGTGGCTGCGCCCGCATGCGGTTCCACCCCCATTCTGGCACACCCCTCACACGTTTCGTGGCCCCATAGGGAGCTCCACCGAAGGCCCCAGTGGCTGCGCCCGCATGCGGTTCCACCCCCCCTTCTGGCATACCCCTCACACGTTTCGTGGCCCCATAGGGAGCTCCACCGAAGGCCCCAGTGGCTGCGCCCGCATGCGGTTCCACCCCCCATTCTGGCACACCCCTCACACGTTTCGTGGCCCCATAGGGAGCTCCACCGGAGGCCCCAGTGCTGCGCCCGCATGCGGTTCCACCCCTCATTCTGGCACACCCCTCACACGTTTCGTGGCCCCACAGGGCGCTCCACCGAAGGCCCCAGTGGCTGCGCCCGCATGCGGTTCCACCCCCATTCTGGCACACCCCTCACACGCTTCGTGGCCCCATAGGGAGCTCCACCGAAGGCCCCAGTGGCTGCGCCCGCATGCGGTTCCACCCCGTTCTGGCACACCCCTCACACGTTTCGTGGCCCCATAGGGAGCTCCACCGAAGGCCCCAGTGGCTGCGCCGCATGCGGTTCCACCCCCATTCTGGCACACCCCTCACACGCTTCGTGGCCCCATAGGGAGCTCCACCGAAGGCCCCAGTGGCTGCGCCCGCATGCGGTTCCACCCCCCATTCTGGCACACCCCTCACACGTTTCGTGGCCCCATAGGGAGCTCCACCGAAGGCCCCAGTGGCTGCGCCCGCATGCGGTTCCACCCCCCATTCTGGCACACCCCTCACACGTTTCGTGGCCCCATAGGGAGCTCCACCGAAGGCCCCAGTGGCTGCGCCCGCATGCGGTTCCACCCCCCATTCTGGCACACCCCTCACACGTTTCGTGGCCCCATAGGGAGCTCCACCGAAGGCCCCAGTGGCTGCGCCCGCATGCGGTTCCACCCCCCATTTGGCACACCCCTCACACGTTTCGTGGCCCCATAGGGAGCTCCACCGAAGGCCCCAGTGGCTGCGCCCGCATGCGGTTCCACCCCCCATTCTGGCACACCCCTCACACGTTTCGTGGCCCCATAGGGAGCTCCACCGAAGG